GCCCCACACAACCCAAAGGGCATGCGTAAAAATGCATAAGTGCCCGATTTTGTTATAAACGCGGTTTTATGTATGTTTTCGGGTCTCATAGCTATTTGATAGTAGCCAGACTTTAAGTCCAAAGTAGACATGTATCTTGTAGATTTGATCTTTCTAATAATTTCCTCTATAACCGGCAAAGGGTAAACTGGGAACTTAGTAATTCTACTTAGTTTTCTCTAATCGATAGCAAACCTCCAAGCCCTTTTATCCGAAGGAGGAAACTCGTTCTTTTCCTACATAGTACGACTGGACTCGCGTACTCACTATTTATGGGCGTTATTATTTTATTCTTTAACATCTCCTGAATATGTTCTTCGATGATTACGTCTTTTTGTTTGTCATACCGATAAGGTTTAGTCCTACAAGGTTTTTCGGCATTTAATTGTATCTGATGCGTAACTATTTGACAACTACCAGGCTTTTCTGAAAACAAGTTAGAAAAATTACTCACCACTTGCTGGATGGCTTGACTTTCATGGTCATTCAGATGGCTAAGGTCAACTTGCGGTATCTCCACAGGTTCCACCACCCTCTGGTCCATCTCCAGCACCACGGAACTGTCTTGAAAATTCAGCTTGGCCCTCGCGGCCCTTAAAAACTCCATACCTAAATAAGAGAGGATTTTGCAGATTCTTCACTACAAAAATTAATACTTTGAGGCTTTCCTCTTTTACCTGTATGTTTAATGATAATTTCCCGATGCAGTGACAGGTTTTTCCTTGCGCCGCTATAATTTCGGTATTTTTGGTTTTAAATAATCGTACCCTATAAAATTCTTTTTGAAGAATGTTTCGCTCATAAAATTTCCTTCTGCTCCTGTATCGATGAGGGCTTCTACTGGTACATCGCCAACCAGGACTTGTATAATTGGTAGATGTGAGTTTTTTACGATGACCGTATTTAAATGTCTTTTTGAGGGTTTTTTAAAACTTCCGGGGTCTGGACCCTCGCTTTCACAGGCCCCTCTACTCGTTTTTAAAGCTTTCCTTTCAAGTTCTGCCTTCTGGGTACGCGGATGTTTGTTTTCGAATTTTCTTTTTGGGCCTTGACCTTCGAGGTTCGATGAGTTAGCTTGATAGCTCTTTCCCCCATAAGAGCGGTTTGCATTTCTGGTTTGCTCATTTGAAGATTTCCTTCGGGTACTTTGAGAATACGATGCCCCCTCTAGCTTTTTCCGCTATTCTGCGATTTTGAAACTTCACCGCCAATTCGAAGAGCTCCTGCAATGAGCTAATTTCGAAGTAGTCTTGAACAGCAGGTAACAATCTTGGTAAGATTATTTCAATAATCTCCGCGTCGGGTTTCTTCCCATACAGCATATCCGTCAGCTTAATTTTTCGCAAAATAAAGTCCGTCAACTCTTCTATATCCCGTTGATAGAAACTATATAGTTCGGCTTCCAGCCTTGCTCGATCTTTCACTATGGGGAAGGCCTTTACTAACGAGTTTTTTGAAATTTTCAAATGTATATGTCTGGCTTCCAAATTCCCCTAATAAAAATTTGCCTATATTCTTCCACCATAGCGCGGCCTGTCCTCTTAGTGCGGATGTGGCGATGGCAACTTTTTGTCTTTCAGGCACAGGGTAGAGCTGAAAGTGATTTTCTAGGCCTTCTAGAAATATCGCCACCGAATTTTTTCCGTCGAAATTGACGTTTGGCTTGATTGACGCTCTCAAAGTCTGGACCAGGTATCCAAATCCTTCCAATTGGCTTGCCATTTCTTGGTGTTGTCCCGCGGCTTCCATCCGATTTTCGGCCATTTCAGTTCGATAAGTGTTCGGGCGCCAATGTAGAGTTGCGCGCCTCCAACTGCACGCAACCAAGAGGTGACTGTTGAAACTGGAAAATAGACAGAGTCTTGCTAAGGGTTTAAGTCCCTTTTTATTCAAACTTAAGAAATTACAATTGCGTGCTCTTGACGCTCACAAACTACGCCGACCCGGCGGTAAAATAAAAATAAGAACCTGAAAAGAAATAATAACAAGACTCTAACTACGAGGCTCTCTAAAAGTAACTAACCTCACCGCGTTTTACAATACCGCTGCTAATTCAGCAACTTTGAATATCACGTTGAACGATTAACAATTCTCCGAGGCAAGCACACAGGCCGAAACGCGGGGTTCTTCAATTTCTGACTAACTACCTCCGCGCTCGTGAAGTAAGAACAGCACATCTCGAACTCGTTTCCTTTCTATTTAACTCAGAATACTTCCGCTGATAATTTGAATCCTTGCGCGTTCTACTAAAATTTACATACTCTGGCATTGGCAGTTCCAGGGGAAAGTAATGCTTGACAGGAAAGATAGTTTAAACTTAAAATAAATGTTAGTTAAAATAAATATAAACCCTGCAAAGCTAATTTCTGAATGGTACAGACTTTCTTCTTTCTAGCATTCTCATATTTCGAATAGATAATGTAGCCATGTCTAATTGCAAGATAAAGACATGGTTAAACATTTTTCGCAACAATGATAACTAAAATTAAATTGTGTAGCTAATTTTAGACAAAAGTTTAAAACGTCTATCAAAATATAGAAATTTTTGGAAAGGGTGAGACTAACACCTCTTAAAAATTTTGAGTCTGACAGTGATAAAAGAGCTTTACAAAAAATGTATTTATAAACTGAATTTAAGTATTTATTACATTTACCTAATTATACTTTTCCAACTTAGTCAAGGGTTCTTAATATACATTAAAATTACATTTTTACACGTTTTTGATTAGTATTTTACACGTTTATTATTTTACACATTCATGGCATTTTTTTCATTAGTATTTTACGCGTATTATTAAATTACACATTTTTTATTAGTATGTTTTATAGTTTAATTAAATTTTAACATTTATTTCATCCTTTGTCTGTTTTGTTATAACTGTGCGGGATTATTGTTGAGGAATTGCCTTGCTTTGATTCAAATTTAATTTTAAGTTTGGATGCGTTAAGTTTATTTTACTTCAATGCTGCAGCTATAGCGCAGGACGGTCTTAAAAATTTTGTTTTTAATTTTTACCCTCTTATTATGTTTCTTTATTAATATATATATATATATATATATATATTAAAAAAAAAACTTCTTTTTGCAACCGTTTTGCGTGTTCCAGAATAGGTTAATCTTTCTATTTTTCTTTAGAAAGTTTGCTTACATTTTCAAAAAAAAAAAAAAAAGTGTGTTCTTAGGACGTTTAGGTTTATGTTTATTATTTTGTTTAGCTTTATGTTTATTATTTTCTCAAATGTTTATTATTTTATGTCCTACTTATTATTATTTTATACCTATATCTATGGCTCTCTCTCTCTATATATATATATCTACATAGCTATGTTTTGCAATTTCCTTCTCAAAACTATTACCTGTACTTCTCTTCATGTATATATATCTCAGTTTAATCAAATAAAATTTAGTTTCCAAGTTGCCTGGAACACCTTTGTCTGCTGAGGAACTTTGAGTCTCTTAATGTCAGCCCAGCATACTCTCGTAAAGTGTCCACTCACATTTAAGCATGAATTCGACGTTGCATGCCATCATATTAAACTCCGCCACTCGAGTAAGGACAGAAACTATCTCCCAGGCCTTATCTGCTCATCATCGTACGGAAGTGCAGAAAATGGATCCCTCCGATTGAGTCCTAATGAAGTAAAGGCCCCAAAATAGTCTGAACTGCCGCTGAGAGCAATCGAATGGCTTTCGACGATGTTCCTCGACAATTTCCGAAATCTGCAAGGACGAGCAATTAAATTACTGGACCTCCCGTTTTGCAATTCTCTTCCAAATTCGAAAGCGGAAGGTTAAATGTTTTAATTTGGAAATACCCAAATTCTTTTGAGTTATTATCCGCATTCAATGCTTATGCGAAATTTTGTGTCATTTTCTGATAGTAGTTAACAATATATCGCGAATATCTGAGTAGTAATGGCTAATATAACGTTATTTCAAAGGGATCAGGTTCATTTCAAATTACTGTAAAATTTAAATAATTAATAATTATTTTAAGTTTCTCCCTTTTTTCTGCATGCCTTCGTGGTGTAACGGTTAGCACACTCCGCGCGTATTCGAAAGGTCCAGGTTCGAATTTCGGCGACGGTACTGCACATTTTTTACGTCTCCAGCATTAAAATAACCTAATGACTCTACAGTGGCGCCCGAACTAAAATGTGGTGGATGATGATTCTTCACCACCATGATTTGGCGATTGGGTCGCCTAATCCTCAATCGCACTTTAAAAGAGGGGTATATAATGTACCAGAACCGACCCACCTAACCAAACAAGTTGGTCTTATGGTCATAACAGGCCACACTAGGAGTATTTTCTCCCTCCTTTCTACATGCCTTCGTGGTGTGACGGTTTGTACACTCGGCGCATGTTCGAGAGGTACAAGTTTAAGTCCAGGCAAAGGCATTTTTCATGTTTCCTACATCAAGAATACTAATGACTCTACAGTGTTTTAATTTAAAATAGTAAGAGTTTTACATTACTATCTAGATTCAATACTATTATATTTGTACATGAGTAATTCAGGTGTAAATTTGTAGATCTTTAATTCGAAACGGGGCATAGTTTAAATTGTGAAAATAACTCAAAAAAAAAAGGCCGAGATAAGATAAAAAAAAACTCTCCTAACAGGCCTTAGAGATAATGTTTGTTGCCAGCTTTGACACTTAACTATTTTAGTCAAATTTTCGACCTAGCAATTCAGAAAAACGCGTTTTCGAAGTGTCTAGGAGAGAACTTTCTCGGTGCTTCTAGAAGAGCAGTTAGTCTTTTATAAACGGCTGAGCTGTGAGTCAAGTTTCACAGATTATTGATTGTGTAGATCAGGGGTGAGCAAAACGCGGCCCGCGGGCATCTTGCGCCCCGTTAAACATTTTTATGCGTCTCGGCAAGCATTTCTAAAATTGAATTTATTTTATCGACTTTCTCCCATCAATATGTTGTTACAAAAATAATTATAATAAAATGGTAGTACATACTAAACCGAAAAATTTTTTTGTGACGAGTTACTCACTTGTCGGTGACTTGTTCAAACCTGCATACGAACGCGCCACGTCTGTGCTTGTTTGTGTTTACTTCTGTCACACAATCAGTCAGACTGGTAAGCTGTTAGCTAGCAATTTTAAAAATAAACTGAATCAATTTGAACAAGCATGTGCTGATCAAGCAAACGAGAAAACACCTGCTAAAAGTGCAGAAATTCCCAAAGAACAGAAAAATAATCTAAGGAAACAACTTGTCTCTGACATTCCAGTTGAAGCTTTTGAGGCAACAAAGAATGCTGTGGTAATTCGCTCCTACAACTCATCCGCCTTTTCCTAAATCTGGCAACAGCTACAGTAGCGAGATACTTCTTCAAGCTGCGTGAGGAAATGGACAGACTTCCATTCCGATGGACGTGGCGATGGATGGAGCTGAACTATGCCGTTCGACGATTTTAATTGATGATGTGATTCCGTTTCATGATGAATAGACTTTTTATCTTACTTCCTTTCACACTGTACATACCATAATCATGTTTATTCTTTCATCATTAAATACCCTTAAAATGCCACTCCCTTCCTCTATTTTAATCCTAACCACATCCCACATGGGGGCTCGGCCCCACGAACTCTCTCGACTCCTTGAACTAAAATCTGTTCTTCTCTTCAACTTTTTAAATCCCCTAGACTACCATATAAGATAACGAGTATAATTATACATGATGGATTATTGTGGAATAATATCTCAAGATTCCAGTTGTTGTGATTCATCAGCATGTAAGTACATCTAATTTTATTTTATTCAGTAATACTAATGAGGAAGTAATATTCTTTCAAATTATGAATATTTGATGACGCCTTTTTATGAAGTTTATTTGAGGAAGCGAAAGGCATTTGATTTTGATGAAAATTCATTTTATTTTTTTGAATGATTATTACATTGAAGAATTAACACTTCCGTTTTCGAATTTGATGTTGATGATAATTAATTAAACAGTTTTGATGAAGTTTAATTGAATAAACTAAAGGTATTTGACTTTGATGAAAATCCATTGCCGACTATTTAAAGAATTGTGATGTATTAAAAAAGTTACTTTGAAGAATTACTTTCGTTTTCGAATTTGGTGCATAAATTTCTTATTTCTTGTGATGCCTATATTTTCCAAGGACTGTACAATATTATTTGAAGTTATTAATTTTTATATCATATCTTAACGTGAAATTCTATTTTCCATTCTTAACATAGTCTTATATGAAGATTTGTTTGACGATATATTTTACCATTTGTTTGAATCATATGTTCACAATTTCATTTATGATTTTTGGGTGTTTTAACATCATAGTTATTGTGTAATATACTAAGAAGAATTAATATTATTTTGAAAAATATGAAAAATTAAGAGTATATTTTGGTATGATAATTTCTGAACCCCGATAAATAATATTTGATGAATTCTAAACATACGTATTTGTGTAATTTCATATTTGGTAAAAACAAAACTGATAAATAATGGCTACACTTAACGATTATCCCAACGTTGCACAGTCATTAAAAACTGCCAGTACCAAGCATATCAAGCTTCTACATCGTTTAGTTTTTGGCTCAGATTGTGATCGGCAGAATCGTGCTAGGTTACGCAATTTTTCTGGTTTTCCCAAACCATTTAATTTTGAAGATACGAAACAAAAAATTATCAAAGAATTTTCTCTCACAGATTTAATTGCCATATGTAGCGTACTGCATTTAGAATTTTCCACCGATATTGAAAACTGTGCTAACAATATTCTTACGAATCTAGCTGATGTCTCATTATTAAAATCAGATTCCGCTAAGTACAGCGACCTTGAAGACGACGCTTTGGTGCAAAGTTCACCCTCGACGCATTGCATCACCCAAACAGCCATTAATCACACTCCAGATGATTCTTTATGTAAACAAATGGAGGCAAAAATCTCTCTTGAAAGCGCGCCTGAAAATTTATTGCTTTCACAAACACAGACTGTTCCGTTTCAATGTTTTGGCTTAAAAGACATTGTTGATTTGATCAAACCCTTTTCCTCTCGGGATAATTACAGCGTTGAAACTTTTATTTCTGACATAGAAGATATTTTTAATCTCTATGAAATCACGAATCCTGTACATCAAGTAATTTTTGTTAAAAAATGTCTTACAGGTCCAGCTTTAACATTAATTAGATCAATTCGTGGAATTACTAATTGGGAATAATTAAAACATCATTTATTAGATGAATTTTCGGATAAAATTAATAGCCATTATTAAAATTTCAATTACATAAAATAATGGAATCTCGTCACATGAAAACATCTGAAACCTTACAAGAATATTTTTTAGCTATGAAAGACCTCGCACACAAAGGTTCTATGGATGATTCTTCTTTGATTGATGGGCGTTTTCGTGGTTTTCCCCATGTGTAACGTGTATACGAGCCAGTTTCCCTTAGAAAGTCCTCCGCGAAGGCATCCATTCTCTTAGGCAGATAGCCCTCGAGGCTTTGCCATAATCACACACACATACACACTTCTTTGATTGAGTACGTTATAAACGGTATTCCTGATTCATCAAACAATAAAATAATTTTATACGGTTGTAAATCCATTCCTGAATTTAAACAAAAACTGAAGATTTATGAAAAACTCTTTAACAATTCAAAAAATTTCAAGCAGAATACTCCAAAGAGATTTACAAATTCCTTTCCCAATGTTAAAATCGATGCTAAACGTACATCAGATACACAGCCAGTATGTTATTCTTGTGGTTTAAAAGATCACAAACGCAATTAATTGTCCTAAATAAATCTAATGGCAAATTCTGTTATGGCTGCCAAAATTATGGTCACATTCATTCCAACTGTCCCAAACGTTCTGGTACTTCTAACCACGGAATCTGCTCTAATTGTTCTACATCTGATAGTACTATAAATGCACTTTCTGCTCAAAAGTTTTCTAAAAATCCTATGCATCAATTAACTGCTCTGTATGACACTGGATCAAAAGCACCTCTTATTACGGAGAAAACATACCGCAAAATTGGTTCTCCACCATTACATCCTTCCAGAATTACATTCTCAGGACTTGGCCGAGACACAGTTCAAAGTATTGGATTCTTTCAGGACTACATTCAACTATTTTACCTGCTAAAATCCATGAAGTAAAAAACTATATGATTCCTCTTGATGCCATTATTGGAATAGACTTTTTGCAACAAACTCGATTTACATTTGATAAAGATGGTATTCATTTATGCAACAATAATAATGATAAATTTTTGTTAATATTGCTAATGTTACTCATGATCACACATTTCCACCTGATCTTTCACACATCTTAAAATCGGAAATTTTCTAAGAAGTTCAACATATCATTACTCCTCACAACCTACACGAAGTTAACACTGCTATGAAAGATTTTCAGAAAATAACAGAAAATGAAATTCAGATGAAGAAAACAAGTAAGAAAAATGATGATGCTGCACATGGCGATTTAGAATTGGATTTAGATGATGAAAATTTGTTTTGGTTGATCACGATGACAAGGATGATGCTGATACCAATCATGGAGCTCATGACGCTGATGTTGATGAAGATGGTGATGATGCAGATGACGACATGGATCAAGGTCATGATATTGAAGATGACGACATTCATAACGCTAATGGTGCTGATGATGATGATGGCACTCATGAAGCTAATGAAGGTGGTGATAATGTTGTTGATCAAGATGACGTTGCTGTTGTTGATGAAGATCATGTCAGTGAAGATAACAACGCAGATGATGATGTCAGTCATGAAGCTAATGATGATGAGGATGTCGATAATGATCCAAACGTGCAGAATACTGAAGAAAATGTGAAAAATAAACTGAATTAATTTGAACAAGCATGTGCTGATCAAGCAAACGAGAAAACACCTGCTAAAAGTGCAGAAATTCCGAAAGAACAGAAAAATAATCTAAGGAAAGAACTTGTCTCTGACATTCTAGTTGAAGCTTTTGAGGCAACAAAGAATGCTGAAATACTTGGAATCAAAATTACTGTTTCATACACTTTATCCGCTTCACGTCCCAAAGAAACGCAAGAAGAAAGAGCCTGGAAGTATAAACGAAGAAAATTTAAACGAACTTCAAAGACAATGAAATTGCTGACACAGCATGATGATGAAAAGGCTGCATTATGCATTGAAGCTCAACGGAACCTCCTCCGTTTACAGCACGTACATATACGGACAGTATAAGAAACGTCGCGAAACCTGCCTGCAAATACAAACTTGGACACCAAATGCCAATCTAGCCTGCACTGAAACTTCCACTTGGACTGAATCTTCGACTTGAACTGAAACTTGGATTTCGTCCCAAATTCTTCGGTCTTTATGAGACAGTTCATCCCTCTGATTGTTACGAAGTACGAAAGATACGCCATGACGACACCATTATGATGTCAACCTGTGCTGATAAGATGAACTGGTCATGCACAAAGCTAACATTCGCCACCTGGACATTTATTTTTTTTTCCACTTTCTCTGCTTTTTTTTTTCTTTCTTTTCAGATCAACCCCCAGGCGAGGACGCCCGGCAAGGCAGAACGGCCGTGTGGTAATTCGCTCCTACAACTCATCCGCCTTTTCCTAAATCTGGCAACAGCTACAGTAGCGAGATACTTCTTCAAGCTACGTGAGGAAATGGACAGACTTCAATTCCGATGGACGTGGCGATGGATGGAGCTGAACTACGCCGTTCGACGATGTTAATTGATGATGTGATTCCGTTTCATGATGAATAGACTTTTTATCTTACTTCCTTTCACACTGTACATACCATAATCATATTTATTCTTTCATCATTAAATACCCTTAAAATGCCACTGCCTTCCTCTATTTTAATCCTAACCTCATCCCACAATATGTTGTTACAAAAATAATTATAATAAAATGGTAGTACATACTAAACCGAAAAAATTTTTGTGACGAGTTACTCACTTGTCGGTGACTTGTTCAAACCTGCCATACGAACGCGCCACGTCTGTGCTTGTTTGTGTTTACTTCTGTCACACAATCAGCAGACTGGTAAGCTGTTAACTAGCAATTTTAGCAATTCTTGTGTTTCTTGAAAGGCGTGAGTGCAATATTATTGTCAAAAAGATGTAGGCTACACAGCCGCACTCTTGCTGCCAAGTCATTTTCAGGTAGTGACACCTATTGATGGAAAACGAAAGCGCTAATAACTACTACTATTTTCGCTTCTAGGGCGGGAATTCCCCGTCGCATGTAAACAGAGTAGTTACGTTCTTAGAAAGTAGAAGCCGTGCGCTAGAGAGAAAAAATAAAGATGTTGTAATGCGAAAGTAGATTCTTGCTTTTTGAACATTGCAAACAACAAAAACATTGTAGGGGTAACAATGTAATATTAGAGTTTTTTATTCAAAATTAAGTTTTCCTACACATTTTTTTTTATTTCCACAATTTTAATCCATAATAGCAGGTCGGAAAAGCAAACAAAACAAACAAAAAAAAAAAAAAAAAAAAAAAAAACAGAAGTTTGCGGATGAGCACGGGCATTTCGAAAGAGATATAGATAATATGCTTGAAGATAAACCATAATATGCTTTGAAGACAGCTTGATATATGCTCAGAGACTGTGTCGACATTAAAAGAATATATTATAAAAAGGCATTACGATGCAAAATATGAACAACAATATAAAAACTTAACAGGACAACTCCCGATAGATAAGTTTAATCAAATGGAGAAAAACTTAGGAACATAACAGGCTATTTTTAAAAATCAAACTATTTTATCAAATACGGCAGTAAAGGCTAGTTTTGCTGTCAGTCAAATACTGGCAAAAAAATGGAACCCTTTGTGGATGGAGAGATGATAAAAGAATGTCTGATTGCTGTTACAGAAATAGCATTTCATGATAAAATAAATATTATTTCAAATGTTAGTTTATCAAGATTCCCCATTGCAAGGAGAATCGAAGACTTGTTCGAGAACATAGCAACAACGCTTCGTGAACGCATTGCAAAATTCGAATATTGTTCTTTGGCACTTGATGAAAGTTGCGATATTAGCGATACAGCACAACTGGCTATACTTTTACTTGGTATTGACACCAAATTTAATATTACCGAAGAATTGTGTTCACTGATTCCAATGCAAGGGATTACAACCTGCAAAGACCTGTAGGATGAACTAAAGTCTGTGTTGGAAAAATTTTCAATTTCATTAGAAAAGATTGTTGGTATATCAACAGATGGAGCACGAGCAATGTCAAGCATGGTGGTAGGAGTATCGGGAACGCTATTTCAAGACATTAAGAAGGTCACAGGAAGGGAAATATTCGTTAACCGCTGCATAATTCACCAGGAAAATTTGTGTGCGAAAAGCTTGAGTTTGACAAATGTCACAGTACCAATAGTTAAACTAATCAATTTTACAAAGTCGCGCGCGTTAAATCACCGTGGATTTAAAGAATTCCTGAAAGATTTAAAAATTGAATATGGCGACGTAGTTTTTAATACCGAAGTAAGTTGGTTTAGTAGAGGTGCAATACTAAAAAGAGTGTACAACTGAAAAAGCGAAATGGATATGAAGGAATATCCCTTTCCTCATTTTGGTAATAAAGAATGGATGTGCGATTTTGGGTTCTTATCGACATAACTCAGCATCTCAATGATCTTAATGTGGAACTTCAAAGCAAAGGACAGTTTATTCACAATTTGTATGATAAAATTCAGGGCTTTGAGCGCATATTAAAATTGTGGAAACAGCATCTTTTGCAGAATAATGAGTCTCACTTTCCACATTTAGAAAAAGAACACATAACTACTTCTCAAAAATACGCACAATATATAGACATTTTAATCAAAGAATTTCAATTACGATTCCAAATGTTCAAAGATGAGAAGACAGCAGTTTCCATAAAAATGTTTCCCTCGCCATTTAATATCGATGTGGATACAGTTCCCGAAGACTTTCAAATGGAAGTGATTGACATTCAGAATAATACCGATTTAAAAAATGTATTTTGCTCAGTAAACATCGAACATTTTTATAAATCTTATGTGAGCCCTGAGAAATTTCCGCTTTTGATGAAAAATGCAAAGCACATGATAGCTCTGTTCGGAAGTACGTATGTTTGCGAACAATTATTTTCAAACTTGAAATTAATCAAAATTGAAAAATGACCACCGATCAAGACTAAGAAAATACACGATTAGAAAGCTGCATAAGTGTAGCTTCCTCATCAATTCCGGCTGATATTGATCAACTTGTATCGAAAAAACAGTGCCAAATTTCACATTAAAAATTTTAAGTAAATTCGTGTTTCTGTTGTGTAGCGAATTTAATTTAATTAAGTGATTCATTAAAATCAAAATTTTAATTTGAAATTATTCAAAATTTGAGCTACACAAGTTTGGTTATATTCTTTTTGGCTTATTAATTCTAGTGTAATATATTTTGGCTTTCCGAGTTTACGCGAACTGCGTCTTCAATCTTGTACACGCAAACAATGGATTTTGGTGAATTTTTTCACGTAATAAACTCAGTTTTTCATGTCAAAAATTAATTTGATTTCATAGTATTTAATATCATTAGTTGCAGAAAAATTAGCTCCTTAATTTGACAAAACTTTCGTTTTTCTAACTTTAATTGCATTTCAGTTATGAGCTCTAATTAGTAGATTTTTTTCGTTTGCTTGTGTATTCGGTAATGGGGGATGAAATGCCCTTTTCCGGTTGAAAAGTCACTTTTTGCGAGTTTCAGCACTTTTTCGTTGGGACCGCTTGCAGGGTTGTTGAAATTCCAGATTCCCCTTCCACAAGGCGTGGTTATTTTTGGCGAGGGTTTGGCGACATAGAATTTCCGTTGAGGTTTCAAAGTGGTGGATTTGCTAACAGATGGAATTTAGTTTATTAAACATTTCATTTTTTTGAATTTTATGTTTGTAGGAATTTGGTATACTAACATGAGGGAATTTAGAATTTGCTAACAGGGCAGATTTTTTATTTTATGAGGGAATTGTTATTGCAACTATTTTAACTTTTGGCGAAGAGTGGGTTGTGCCAACTTGGCAGTCCAGCGTCCTCCCTTTTAACGGGTTGTTTTGGGGAACGAACACACTTTTCGACACGTTTTTTTGCTTTCTTGAATTGCTTTCTGATGCGGTCCGAGGCGGCAGCCGATTCCGCGGAGAAATGGATGGAACGCCCGTGGGACCTACGGCCCCTAGGCTAAGCGCCTTGAGCGCAGGGCGAAGGTTTGGCTTCTTGTCTCTTCAATAATTCATAATTTTCCTTCATTGATTTATTTTCTTTCATGTGTGAAAAAAATTAAATCCTTACATGATGTACAAAAAAAAAAAAAAAGGGTGATGAGTGCTCCCAGTTCTCAACCGTCTGATTGCCGCTATACTCTGAATTGAAAAATAAATTTTCACCACCAATGTTCCTGAGATCTCCTAGATGTTGACTCGCCGTTTCCCTCTGAGGATGTCCGAAGTTGTCTGAAGAATTTGTTCATCATAATTCTCCTCGTCTCTCCAATAAGGGACTGATCAACTGATTTGGCCGTTTGATCCTCTTCGTTCTTCATAAATCTCCTCGTATTCTCCCCATCCGGAACTGCAATATTTACAAGAAATTCAACGACTCCATACATTCGACGAACATTTTTTTTTTCCTCCTTTCAACAGCAGCAGTCCTCATGAGCTTCAATGGACATTTGTTTTGGGTTGCCTTGCCTTCTACTCAATTACAGATAAGTTCTTTTTTTTTGTTTATGCTTGGTTAGTCAAGTATTATAGATTTCTGCAGTAAAAAAAAAAGAGATTGAATTAATTTAATTTGTTGAACCTAAATTGTTGTAAGTGAT